ACAAGTGGTGGAAGGGCAGATAGATAAAGCAAAAGCAATAATAATAATAATAATAATAATAATAATAATAATAATAAAAGCATGTCTGGAGGTAAGCTTTCAGCTAAGAACAAGCCCTGAGCCTCAATATTTTAATCTGTGGGACCAAATCTTCATGGATGAAAAGACCCCATTCATATGTTTAGCCTGGAAATCAGGAAAACCTTGAAGGAAAGAATCTGCATCAGCTCCTGCAAAAAGAAGTATCAAAATAGCCTTATGCTATTATGAAAGATGCAAGATAGATAGTTTAGTGAGAGCTTTTAAAAGCACAGCCTAGATTCAAAGAACGTTTCTTCTTCACCCCCAGTACATCACCTAATTTTGTCCTGTCTCTGCACAACCACTAACAATGTCAGTTGGGAACTCCTAACTGTACAGGGTAGGAAGGAACTCCCCTACAAGCCATCATTGGTTTACAGCAATTCAGTGCTTTTACATCAAGTGGCTCCTGCTGGCTGTGTAGAGAGCTATGATTCACGTAACTAGTTTCATGTTCAATAAATCATATAATGGAAAGGTTTTCTGGTTAGTGTCTCCAAGAAGTGTTGCAGTGCAGCCAAGAGTTTAAGGAAACACATGTACACACACAGAGCAGAAAGACAAGAAACCATGGCTTCCCAGCATATCAGAATCCTTGGAATGCCCAAATAACCGAGTCTCATAAGTTAGTCATGAAGTCATTATGAAGGCTCAAGTTGATTTCTCCTCGGTCACTTGCATGTTTCTGAAAATAAGAAGCTGGAGGATTCTTTGACCTAGGCCATATGTCATGGTCCTTGCCCTCATTCTGCCTCTGCAGCAGGAATAAAAGTGAATAAAACTGAGATACAGATACGTACATAATATGGATTCATACATTTCACATAGTCTCTAGTCTGGCTCTCAATGATAAGCACCTGGTTTCATTCCCAGATGAAAGGATGCTGAGAAAGACTTCTCCTTTCTTGTGGTACTGGACAGCTGCTGCCAGAGCAGACGATGTTTAACTAGGTGAACTATTGGCTTTGCTCAAAATAAGGCAGGGTTAATATACCACAATTCCAATTTGTACTTGAGAAGCCAGTCTCCACACATCCACCATAATCAGAAGTAGTGTAGTGAAAGTTTTTTCAATATTTGGTGAGGCATTACAAATGAGTGTCTAATCCACAAGTGCCTATTTTAATAAACTGCAGATCTTCTTGCCTTCTGAACAGAAGTTATCCATACTGATGACTGTACTTCCCTCTGGAACCCTCCTCAGAAGGTTGCAAAGCTCTTTTCAAAAGTTATTTGTCCCTCTTGCAAACAACTCTTGTGAAATAAGCTGTAGCTGTTTTAGAGAAGAATAAGGCAACATAGCACCAGAATATTACTCTCTGTACAACTAGGAGATCAGCTGAGAAAAGGATCTATCATCAGCAAACAGGGTTGGCAAGCACATGGGTGAAAAACAAGAGTATCACCAGCAGCTCTTCAGCAGGAGGCCTCCAACCCAATCCTTTGGGGGAATCAGAAACTAGCAATAAAAGCCCCACCATACTTCAGACATCTATCTGTCCCCAACCTAGCAAAGACAAAACCTAGACCAAGATTTGATTATATGCCAAATTGATTTAAATTATGTGTATTTTTTTAACCATAGGATTTAGTGTTATTATTTTTCTCATAAATTTTGACACAAACATTCCAGGAAAAGTGGGGGCAAAATTCATGCAACAACTGAGGGGAGTGGACATGACAACTGAGGGAGAGAGAAGACTGCACCCCAATTTAGTAGGCTCCAAGTGCTGTCTAAAAGTACCCCTCGCTACCAATCGCATCCTCCTTGAGTAGGTACCGCTCATGAAATTTAGGCACCTCAGACATTTCATTTTAGCTTATTTTCAACTGTTCATATGTACAATTGAGAGCAAGTTTGGACTAGTAGTTAAGGAACCAGGCTACAAACTGGGAGACTATGAGTTCTAGTCCCACCTTAGGCATGAAGTCAGCTGGGTGACTTTGGGCCAGTCACTCTGTCTCAGCCCTAGGAAGAAGGCAATAGCAAGCCACTTCCAAAAATCTTGCCCAGAAAACTGCATGGATTTGCCCAGGCAGTTGCCAGGAGTCAAGACTGACTTGAAGGCGCACACAGACACACACAAAAAGTACAATTAAACAAAGCACAACTTAGAAAATGAAACCCAAGCCAAAATTTAAAATTGGGGAGAAGAAAGCAAAGCTTGGACAGCATGCGTCAAGAAAATTGAAATACAGCAAGCCTGCCTGCCCTCTTTTGTTTACAAGATCCCAGCTCAGCATTCAAAGGGGTCTAGCTTTAATTTTATCGTTCCTGACAATTGCAGGAAAAACTAGACCAGTTCAGTCTAGTTATTTATTTGGGTACACACATGCTTGGCTTAGGTATTAGGTCAGGGCCACAAACCAGCATGGAAGGGGAACAGAGATTTTGCAGAATGGCAGTACATGAGAAATGAGGGGTTCAGCCAAGCCACCCAGTTCACTACACTTCATCATCAAAGCCAACCCAGATACAAATCTACCTGTTCACCTGTTCTATAATAACTCTCCTCATTTACATGCAGGCAAGTTATCTGAGAAGAACATGAATCAAGAACTTCTCAGAAACAAAGTTCTGCCTCTATCCCAAATTTTCCCAGAAGTTCCCTATGCTCCCAAGTGGCGTGTTAAAGTGTCCCATTACACTGTAAGATCAATCCTATATTTTGTAGAACTAATGTTAGGCAGATACTGGGACCCCGCTAAGGCTTTCCCCCCTACAGCCAACCTAGCCCTGTCCCAACATCATTGGGAGCCACGCACACTATCAGCCCTTTGAAAATGACACCTACAAGAATCTCCCACATTCCAAGTATCTTTTCACTAAGTACCCAAGAGAATTCCTATCCCCGAGCCAGCCTTACTGTACAAGATGGCTGCCCACTTTATTGTCCAAATCTGAAGGAAGTCACTCACAATCCTAGCTGTTTTCCTATGCCTTGAACACAACCTTCACTGTACTATATGCACAGAATCATGTTATTGTTGCTTTCCACTGCAGTGTTGCTCCACAGGATGGTCTCCTTTAAACCACCACCATGGCTTCCCTCACAGAATTAAATAAACTGTAATCTGAGGAAGAAGAACAAAAACATATATTCTTACAACATGGCAATTCCCTATCAAGAGAAGAGGATGGTTTACTCTACCATCTTCTTATCTCATTCAGGTGACAATCCCTAGCCATTTTCCTTTCCAAGCCACACGATGAGGAAGCAACTAGTCTACCAGTCTTAAGTCTCTAAAGTTTGATGTATAATCCTGTGTCACCCAGTTGGTATCCATTTGCTATAGAGATTTTTTATCTTCCATGGAGAATCCTGGAACTGTTCAGGGAAGATCCTTGGCATTCTCAAACCGTCCATAGGTCAACATCAAATACCTATGTAGACCTAACTCTCCTAATAATTGTATAACATTACAAGTAAGTACATATCCATTGTCGTGAAAGAGCAACTTCTCAAGAGGTGATGCTCGGGAGAATTTAAGATCTAATCGGCACTTGGAGGTTTTCCTTCATGGCTAAGGACATTGTTACCGGTGCGCTTTCTCACCTCCCTCTTCCACCTGGCCAGCCACTCATCCCGCTTCCTCTTGCTGATGTAGTAGGGGTCTCCAGCTTGGAAGGTCAGACGCGGCATTGGCCTGGGGCGAAGACTGGACTCACAACCCAGTCCTCCACGCAGACGGCCTCGGGATCCCTATATGCAGAAAAGAAGGAGGGAGACATAAGGGTAGCATGAACACGTGTATTCTTTGGAGGAAAAAAATGAATTTGGTGTAATTAAGAAAACTGCAGCTATTATTTTGTTTCTGCTGGTCATGGGGAACGATTATTCTGAACCCTGAAGATACAGCTATGAAGGAAGTCCTGCTTTGTTCACTACAAGCCTAAGGCTTCATCTAGTATTGCTCACAGGTGTCAAACTTCTCTTTACAGTCCCAAGAACCAGTAACTTACTTTAGTAAGCCAAAATGAGAAGCTAAGATTCTCATAATTCATTTTAAGTTTCTGGATTTCCAATTCAGAGTGTATGATCCAAGGGCAAAAATAAAGTCTCAACTGCATTCATGCTGCATAATGAACAGCAGTTATGATAGTGATCACCATCTAGGACAGCAGAAAAGGGATCCGTTTCAAATCCTATCTGTTTTTGGCTGTGTTTACACAATGCACCAGAGCAGTATTTCTCAACCTCCTCAACTTTAAGACAGGTGGACTTCAGCTCCTGGAATTCCTCAGCCAGCATGCTTAAAGTTGAGGAGGTTGAGAAACACTGCACTAGAGTAATTTTAAATGGGTTGGGTGTTAATTTGTGGTGAGTCATAGGCACCCAAGTATTGTGCTATCATGTTGATTGAACCAAACTGTTGTGTGAATCAAAAACATTATTTGTTTAGTCACAGGTATTACATGAACACAGCAGCTATGCTTTGCTAATCTTGGTTTAGGGTTTAGTGTGTTGTATAAACACAACCAAAAGTTTTAAGCAATCAGTCTCTTAGCCTCTCTTCAAATTCCAAATGTGATTGATAATCCCTATGTACCTTAGAGGACTACATGAGGACTAGATTTGGAGCTCATTTGGTCTTATGATCTCATACAACCCTCCTCTGCCTAGCATTCCCAAACAAATAGCAACTTTAGTAAGCTCCTTAAGAGGGCATCCAAAAGCTGGATATTTCAGCAACAGAAGAAGCAAATGGAGCAACTGCATAGATCACGTTTCAGTCTGAAGGCCCCAAGTTCTCTGAAGGATTGAGATGAGAAGAAATGGCTCTACATAAGCACATTTTTTATTGGCCTGTCTGGATCAGACACTTCATAATAACTCTTTCCCCCCATCTTCAAGAGCAGATTTTCAAGGTTAAGTTGATTTTGTTGAAGGATTTATTATTTATTTATGTGGTGAAAGTACTCAATGAATGGGTTAACACAACAGCCTCAACCAGATCTGTTAAAAATGTAACCACTGCTTTTGTCCAACATGAGGTTTTGTTGGTGTTTAAGCTCTAAAAGGTTGCCCAAACCCAGAAAATGGGTTAATTCAGTAACCAAGGTAAGTATATTATATGAACTGAATCTGTGGTTGTGGTTACTTTAGAGTTCATTGTATTCTGTAAACCTGAAGCTTGGTGTATTGTGTGAACACAGCCAATGAATACATATATGCTAATTTTTTAAAGGGATGCAGCGCTTACAGGACTATTAGAGGAGGTACTCTGCAAGATGATCAGTCTGGCTAGATATCTAACAAATAGCAGAGCAAGAAGAGAAAAGAGGCAAGTCTTACTTTGGTTTGGCACTATGCCATAAGTGATATGACACGCTTTACCACAGCTGATCTACAGTTCATTTATGTTTGCAGTGCCATTGCCTGAAGTCCAGATTCATTATTTCCTCTAGACTAAATGAGCGAACGTTGTTCATGTAGTAAAACATGCTGTTGGTTGTGTTTATACAGCATATTTGGTTAAAAGTGATTAATTGTGGGGTGGCTTAGCATGTTGTTGGTTAATACAGGAACACTTCCAGATAATCAGCTTTTCAGGTTGCTAAACTTTCTGAATCCAGCATAAAATGAACCCAAGCTTAATGCAGGCTGTTGCTACTACAAGTCTGTTCTTCTCTTCCTGTATGTACAATAGCACAAAATGAACAGAATAAAATAGCAACAGAGCAGCAAGAACTGCTTATTCCATGCTGCTCTGTTTTTGTTTTCTTTTTTTTCCCTACCACCTATCAATTTTGGAAAAAAACAACTGCCTTAAAACAAAAGTTTCAGGTCCTGGAAATTATGGAGATACAGTGGTACCTCGGGTCACGAACGCTTCTGTTCACGACCAATTCGGGTCACAAACAGCACCGTTCGCAAAATTTTGCTTCCATTCGCAAACTCCGCATCAGGTGACGAAGAGGATCCGTGGCCATTTCCCCTGCCGTGACACGTGGTCATGGCTTCCTGTAGGGAGGGGGACTCTCCCACCAAGCAATAACCGCCTCCCCACCCGCCTTCCTGTCCTCCACGCCTCAAGCAAAGTTAGCGT